CAGCTACATGAAGCTAGGGCGAGAAGTTGAGCAGTCATATTTAGTTCAAATGAGCATTAGTGTGCCTCTTGGATGAGTTGCATTTGGAGACAAAGTAGAAGCAAATGGAAACTTGGATAATGAGAGTTTTTTGGACTTTCTGACAAACTGTCAAATATACTGCGCTGTTCAGATTCTTGAATAAAAATCATGGAATTGGACAATGATCCGGCATAATTGGAGCCTGTTTAGACCATCATGTCTATCCTGGTTCATTTTAAGGAGCAATCCAATTAACTGTGGGATGATATTGAGGTGATTTGGAAAGAATTGCCGACAAGAACAACAGACAACGGATAGTATCATTATAAAAGGCACAATTTTGCAAGTTTCACTTCTGGTCAGAAAGTTTCCTGCAGTTCAGGCATTTTAAGCAGTTTCTTTTGTGCCTGAGACTCTCTGTTGAGAGTGTGAAGTCAGAAAATGATCTGACTTGCTGATTGCAATGTTGACCTTGAAGATGTTCAGCTCTTCCTACAGTTGATATTGAAGATCTCACCTGTTCCAGAGATATGTACAGGGTCATTTATGATCACAATCATTATATTGAGGTGGTGGATGCAGAGGACAGGGACCATCAAAGGTTATGCAGTAAATTGGTGGAATGGATTGCCCAACAGTTTAGAACTTAATCACATTGGATTTCAAAGACAAATATTGAACAGATTCCATGATGGGTGGCTGATCCCCAAAAGCAGATTACTGCCAAGGTGATGAGAGTAAAAATTATCCCCAAATAAAGCCATGTTCAATCATTTAACCCCTTCATGAGAAACTCTCTCATCTTAGTCAGTCACAGGTGAGATCAGAAGACACTGTCAAAGGAAGCTCTACAACTTGTTTGTCTCAGCTTCTCTACAGAAAAGAAAAACTTGGGTTTCCGCTATAGCAACGTTTCAATAATTCCTCATTGGCTCCTGTGTTTTTTTTTGCTTTCACTGCCCTAGTCTACAATTAATTAGATATTGAAATCCATTTGCATGAAGAAGTGCTTTCTGGGATAAAATAGGAGATAAGAGACAGCATGAATAAATTTAAGTAGGAGTTATTAATCTACTTTCCTTGGTCTGGCTATCAGGTTTTAATTAAAAACAGCTTTACATTGAACTTCTTCTGCTGTTCTTAGTAGCACTCTATGAGATCCCTGCTCAGGTACTTCTTTACAAAGCTGAATTTTTCAATACAATAATATTTTAGTTCTATATTAACCCAATGTTACAGTATCAGGAAAATGTTCTTATTTTCCATGAAAAGCATGTACCATATCTAACTTTGAGCTAAACCATTTTGTTCTAATGTCCACATTTGACAAAATTGCAATTCAGGGATAAATAATGATGTTCCAGGGAAGACAGACTCGGGCATTGACATATCCATTCTCCTATCACCTTAAATTTGTGTTTAAATTCGACAATGGCAACAGTCATATCTCACCAAGAGCTGCAAGAACTGTACCTGAAATGAGTTTGGGACATTGCAAAATAATACATGATGGGCAAGAAACCTAAATTCAAATTTCTGTCACTAAATTAGCTAGTCTGCTCAAATTCAATGATCATGTGAGAAATTGAGAGAAAAAATATCACACTGCTGTTCGGAGGAATTGCCATTCTAAGGTCTAGCTCAGGCACAATTGAGTTCTCAGTATTGTCATCTTTTGGAGCTTCACAATCCTCTCAAAGATAAATAACGCAAGATTCCAAAATGTAGACACAACAGTCTATTTGCCACAGAAAATTGAGCCTTATGCATAATTCCAGGGATAAGTCGCTTATGTGGTAAGATCCTTTCTTGACTTCAGTGCAAAAACAACAAATGATACTCCAAAAACAGAATAGTGTCTTTTTTCCATTGACTGACACTTCTCACTAGAGAGATAAAAAAAATATATTCCACACACTAGACAATAAATTGTGATGAAATATTTAATTAGAGTTTTAAATTAGCTTCAAATGTGGGCAGCATTGCACAGGCTATAATACAATCTTCTATCACAGATTTTAATGGTAAAAAGGGAATACTGGTCATTGTAACAGGCCACTGTAATGATAATTTTCATGTGCAATAAAATCAAAAATTTAAAACTAGCTATAGATGCTACTCTTTAAACAAGATTTCTTTTTACAGTATAGGGAAATTACTTCTTTTACATAGTAAAAAACACATTTATTTTAACACCTTTTTACCTACAATATTGAAAAAGGTTTGGCATATTTAATAATTTTACAAATTCTTCATTAAAAATATATCTCTGTACAAAAGGATCCTTTGCACCTACTTCAAGTCAACAGCAAGGAGTGAAATGGTATAATGATAACGCCGTTGATGCGATGCCACTGAAATGATTAATAGGCATTTTTACAGCATCTTTTTAGTTTTTCTTTACAAAATATTTTACACAGAAAACATTATTGCAACCAGCCTGAATAAAGGCAAAACTTGTAAGATAAGCAGCAGCTTACAACACAAGAAGTACATGGTCCTGTCTCAGAAAGTCTTCTCTGGGGGGAGGTTCAGCTTATATTTAAATTGACTCTTTTTCCAACATTCCCCAGTGGCTTGTATTTGAACCCTTCATTACACTCAAAGAAGCTGTACCCTCAGTATTTTTCATCATGCAACTTGGGAGCTCATTTTTACTTATAATGCTAATGTTCAGACATTGAGACCAGAGGTAGGAATGAGAATTTGAAAGATTTTGTTTTGAGTGAGAGATTGAGTATTGGCCCTCAACATGGCATTGAATATTAATCTTATAACCTAGAAGTAGAATTTCCACCTCTGGTTGGATGTATTTCTGTAGGTTCTATATTAAATGACCCCAAATCTCCATTGCCCCACAGAGTCAAAAAGCCTTTTACCCTGTGAGTTTAAAACTCTTCATTTGTTAGATATAACCGAGGAAATTTTTAAGATTGTTTAAATACCCCCAATGATTCATTTTTTTCTGCAGTATTGTTTGCAGTGATGGCCTGGAGATTCAACTTCACTTCTCAGACATTTCAGGATAATCTTACAACCCCATCTGGGGTCCCTCATGGAAAGGAAATTGGATCTCTCCTTCCCACTCTTACAGAAAGGAAATAGGTTGCAACACCCAATTCCCATACTGCCAGTTATAAATGTCACAGGCTAATGTCCCCCCGTTCCTGACATCAGTACTGCCTGATATGTTCAACGGCATCAGGTAAGAATATCAAGGATTGGATGGGGCAACACTCGATTTCTACCACCTGGAAAGACAAGGTTAACAGCAAAATAGTGACACCATCTAAAAGTATCCCTCCAAGCAAAACATGCCTTCCTGTGTGGAAATATATCATTGTTCTTCCTTTGTCATTGGGACAAAATTCTGAAACTCCCTCCCTCATAGCACTGTGGATGTTCCAAAACCATACATACTGCTGTTGTTTAAGGAGTTAACCCATCAACTTCCTAAGGCGTGACCATTGAAAAATTAATTTTCCCACAAGACCATCTAATATATGTTCACTATTAATTCGTTAAAGCTTGGTGTTTTCTTTCACCTCATTTGTTGGGAGGTAATCATCTCAAAAAGTGATTCTTCTTTGAATTGAACCCATGGTGTGTATCTCTAGGAGAAGACAGCAGCCAAGTTTCAGCTGTATAATGGAGAACTTACAACAGTCTGCACTACCAAAGAAGTATATCCTCACTAAAAATGTTTTCGCAATCTGAGCACAAGATAATTCAATATTGTGTTCCAAATGCACACTGAACATCAATTTTTTTATAAGAGTAGCACAAGTGAATGATTGTGGTATGGTGCAGGGTTTATGTTCCATATAGGTCTTTTGACATTTTATAATTTAGAATTCAAACAGACTCTGTATTTTAAGCAAACCTGCGCTGTCCACTGTAGTTTTTGACAGCATGAAACTGGCGTTCTTATGAGAAAATGAATTAATAAATTTCTCTTTGTGAACATAAGTTTTGGCTTTATATGGCACATAATAGTTGGTGATATTGTCCCTTGATGAAATATCTTCCTGGAGAAATTGATCTTTTCTCTCTGATTTCTGTCATATCCTGTCCTACAGTTCCAAGAGTAGGTGGCTTATTTCCATGAACTGAATTAACATGGATATTTTGCCCACGGTACGAAGTCCTCCTGAGACAATCCACAACTACACCAATAAATAGATTGGATTGTTGACTTTGACCTGGTCTCAATTTATTCAGTGTGCAAATTGAGCCCTTTATTCTCACCATTAACAGCCTACTTTGTAATATATACCAAGCAGATTCTTATTTGTGTTACTAAGTGTATACAGGGAATCTAAAATTGCCATCTGATTGATAACGTTTCTTTTCTTTGTTAAATGCAGTAAAACTGAAAAACAGAGCAAGGCCAATTTGCATTAAAGGTCGATGGAGTGTAATGTGGAAAATGTTAAACATAAGTACGTGTGTTTAATTATTTCAGATTCATGATAGAATTTTCATATGATTTAACTGGAATTCTTGTATTTTGTTGCTTGCACTCTTATTTTCTGTGCCTTCTCTTAAATGTAAAGCCTCTGTGTCTTATTTTTGGAAAAAATTGAGCACTTTATGTTCAAGGTTGTGTATGAGTATGTGCTAATGTACAGAAACATAGCAAATGCTATGCATGCATGACTGTGTATGTGCTATCATAGGTAATTGAAACAAGGAAGTTGCTCAAAATTGATGTTTCAGAACTTTTGGGAAATCTTCAGACTAAAGAACATACATACATCTTCAAAAATGTTGGGTCCTTTAACTCCTCCCTGGTTCAGTTCATAATTGCTGAATAATACGCAGTTTAAACTAAATGCAATTATTGAAAAAAAATCAAGCCCATTTCATTCATTAATGAAACTATGGTACAGGCTCACCATAGAATTTAAAACAAGAGAAAAATGGAGGAAGCTCTGCTGATAAAGTTCTGTTGTTCCTGACAAAGATCTTAGCCAGGAACAACGCATTTTTATTTTTTTAAAAAAACTTCCTCTGTCTAGTCAAAGGACATAATAACAATCTTATTCTAACCTCTCCCAGTAACATTATTCACTTACTAAAGTCAAGATTGGCAATTGGAGTTTAAACCTCAAAAAAGATTAAACAAGAGTGAGTGGCGAACTACAACTGAAAAAAGTTTGTTGGTAATTATAACATAAACATTTAATATAAAAATTTCCATAGGGGTTTGTCTCATCTCCATTTAGATGAAAAATAGATAGGAAATCTTGGGAAATGGCATTCAACTGTCGACTATTTTAGTATATTAACCCAGTAAGACCAACAATTAACAACAGCAGTAATCTCAAAGCTCTTAAACCCAAGGTATTGCATTATCCATTCCCCATAAGTTGCAATTTTGCGGTTTGATAGAACCTATTCAGAAGACTTGGTAAAGTTGCCGCTAACCACACAAAGTGAATTTTTCTCAAAGACAGTTTTTCTATGCCATAGCTGTGAATGAGAGTTTATCCTTTAGGCTGTATGCCAGATATATTAAAGAAATCACAACAGCTTTCTGCACAATACCAACTGTTTTGGGTAAAGCTATGAGTTACAGAAGTTACAAGTAAAGGCACTCTTTAGAACTGGCAAAATGTCACCAGGAAACAAAGGAATTCCCATTGTTCTCTCCCACACCCAACTATGTGCAAGTTTCTGCCCAAAGAGCTTGCTATTTATTTGGCAAAATCAATTTTAGTTTTTTTCCCTGTAAGCCTCACAGTTTGATGGTTATCTTTGGGAAGTCATAGCTAATCAGTTACAGAATTCTATTTGTGTAGCCATCAATGGCTGTCAAATGTTGCTGCCTGGTGTGAGGGCTGACCTTCATTCTCAGTCTTATTCTCGTCTCACGATTGACTGCCATTTTTTAAAGAAGGTAGGATAAATTTTTGTCTAACACAATAGCAGGCACAGCAGATCTGAAAGTTTCCAAGAAACTCAAAACAAGGCTCAGCAGACATTTGGCAAACATGACTATGTACCAACTCCACTAAGGACCCCTCACCTCCCTTATCAGAACATTTGTAATATTTGTTTTTTTTGTTTTAAACAAAAAGTGGTGTAACAATTTTTCTTACATTCTTCTTGGGAAAATAAATAAGTTTTTTTTGCTAAATATAATTTACAAAAGGCAGTGTTTATTTAAGCTAGCTGGAAAACAGAATAGATTTCTCTGACAATATTTCTGAACTACAGCCTGTGGAGATTCAGAAAAGTTATATGGTGTTAAAAAATCATCTCATTCCATTGTTGTTTTTTTGGCTTTTAATTCAAAGAATAATATCCAATTGATCTTTAATTAAGGAACTATAAAAACCCTCAGAAACCTTTCTCCCTCACAAGCCTGACATCAATAAAAACTGACTCTATAAGAATCCAAGTTTGGAGGAAATAATATTGCAGCCATCTAATACCTATTGTTAGCATTGAGAACGTTGTGTGATGTTCAGCAATGGAAACTGAAGTCTTTAAAGCAAGATTTTTCTTATGTACAATGGTCAGTGTATAGAAACCCTGTAGCCAATTTAATGCCAATATCCTACTCATTCATTCATAACACGCTAGTGCAAAGAATTGTGCAGTCAATTTGCCATACAACAATTGAAAATAATCCCCAAGCTGCTGCCTGTTTTAGAACAGTGACCTTATTTTGTGATGTAGGGAGTTGTAAATTTTATGTATGTCGAACATCTTAGTGTCAGCGATGGAACAGGTTTTGTCCTTCCTTGTCTGTCCATTTTTACCTCTTCTTGGAAGAATACATAACTCAAAAAAAGAAGAAATATCTGCCAATTGCAGCCAGAGCAGAGAGTTTCAAACCCATCCAGGACTTGGTTTTGGTTCTTCCTGTGTTAGAAGTCCAGAAGAAATTGCTTTGACATGTTGTCTGAGGATATTGTCCCAGCAAAAACTCCATTGACTGTGTTTGACCCAACGAAAGTTGTCAAAAAGTGTATCACTGCAAAGCAAGCAGTGGGACAGAGCGATGTGGTATATGGCACCAAAGGAGTTACTGCTTGCCAGGTAGAGGTATGGCTAATATCAGTTAGTCAGTAGTCAAAGTGAGGGCTATACTACTGTACACACAGTGTTCAGTGTTGTGTCAAATCGCACAGCCTTTGCCTCAGTGGGCTTTAAGTTAGTATCATACATGGGATTTTCAAATGAAGCCTGTCCATTTGTGTTCTCATGGCCAACATAGCCATTGTATTGTACTTTGGGTCTTGATCTGGAATGAAAAGAAACAAAAATGTCAGTTTTCATTTAGACAAAGTTCTCAATTGAAAAAAAAATAGATCAACATGGAAAGGGGCAGCCAAGGAATAGGAGCCTGCTGCGGATACCCCTTAGGGTTCAGTTACTCAGTCCTGCCAGATCATCACTCAATGAGACTGAACTCTTGATATCCAAACAGGGACTTTCAGCAAATCATCTTCAACCCAAAATTGCACAATCTCTCCATTGTGTTTAAAATTATATTGGTAACCAAAATATATAGAATCATAGAATCTCTACAGTGTGGAAGCAGGCCATTCAACACATTGAGTCCACACTAACCCTCTGAACAGCATCCCACCCTACATTTCCCATGGCTCATCGACCCAGTCTGCACAAGTCCAGACACTATAGGTAATTTAGCATGGCCAATCCAGTTAACTTGCACGTCTTTGGACTGTGGGAGGAATTTGGAGCACCTGGAGGAAACCCCTGCAGACACATGGAGAACGTACAAACTCCACACAGCCCGAGGCTAGAATCAAACCCAGGTCCCTGACGCTATGAGGCAGTCGTGCTTCACTGCTGAGCTAAGCCACCATGCTGCCCCTTTCAATCAGTACCACCTAGCACAACATTACACTTAATTCATGGATGTATGTGTTCTTTTGGAAGGTACTTTTATTTAAAACATCAAAATTATACGGGATTATCTTCAACGGGGCAAAATAAAATTTGGACATAATTTGGAAAATTGCATATTATTCAAATAGACAAGTCTTTGTGTCGAGAATGGTTGCCCAAATTCTCCATTAACTCAGTGATAAATGGTCGGTCAGGGGAAGTCCCAGATCTTCGCTATGGTCTGCGCTGAGTTAATTGGTCTCAACGTGGCTGACAGTATGGGAGCCACAGTTTACCTCTGTGCTCCTGGGTGGAGGAGAAAGACAGAGAGAGAGAGAGAGAGAAAGACAGACAGAGAGAGAAAGAGAGGGACAGATGGGTAAAAAAAAAATCAGGCAGGTGTGCCTCCTGATTGCTATCCAGCGAGCCCCTGTCAAAGATGCACATTTCGTGGAAGTCAGGTAAGGAAGTTTCGGGCTCATCTGTGATGCCCACCCCCACCATGGTTGAATTATCTGCCAGCACTCACCGTCTAGGCTCATATATGAAGAATGGCCACTTGGGCAAGGTATTAGAAGGCTGCCGACGCCTATGGAAGCGTACCCCAGCATGAGTCACCGCCCTCAGGAGAGGATAGAAAAGAAAAGCAGAGAATTGGGTGGGGAGGAAGAAGGAATTTCACTAACATAAATTAAGAACAGTACAATCATGTATAGTGGAAAGAAAACATATGAGCTGGGTTACAGCATCGAGTTAAAACTATTCACAATGTTCCAGATTCGCCTCTTGCAGTACGTGGCCCCGTTGGATTCCACTTTTGCGATTAGTACAAATCACTTATGACTAGTTTACCTTTTTTCTGAAGTATAAAGGGGAGTGCTATAAATTTTTGTGGAAACTAGCCAGCAGACAGTCCCAGCCAGCAATGTCAAGGAGCTGGGTTAGATGTAGGAATAATTCAGTAAATGGAGTCGTAGAATTGATATGTCATTTCAGATGTTTGTGATAACTCTTAGCCTGCTGACAGTCTAGGGAAAAAAAAAATCTGTCTCCTTGACCTATTTGGTAAATTTCCATCTTTTTGTGCCTCCAGAAATTCGGTGTATCACTAATAAAACTACATTGATAATTGATGGAATTATGTAATCTCTAAATGAAAATAGACACAATTTGAAATGAAACATCAGACACTTTAGCTTATCTTATCATCCTGATGTTCCTCCTATTTTCTGTCTGCTATTTTTAATTTTAATTTGAATTTCACTGTATTGTAGGTTCTGATCTTTAAAAAAAAAATCACAAGTACTTTACATATTTTTGCTTTCCTGATTCTCTGAGCTGGATTTTACAGCAGGACATACTGCTCCCCTACGTCCCTAGGAGGAAAGTCGGATCGAAATTGACCAACTTCTAAGCAAGGATGCTCCTCAGTGATACTGTCTTACCAGTATTCCCCAGTATGGGAGTCGGCTTCAATAGAGGTAAAGGATCCAGAAAGGAAGGGCAGAAACTGGCACTTGTATTGCACTTTGGTTTCATGACAAAACGGTTATAAATCTCTGAAAGTGCCCTACTCCCTGATTCAGAATAATGATATCTCTGTATCAAACACAGAAAGAGGTTACAAAATCCAGTCCTGGGTTCTATTTTCCAGCCTTGGCAGTACAAGGAGATGTTTGAGTATTACTGGGCTCCCAAGGATGTTTGTAGCTAATCAGTGAAAAAGGCCCCAAGGCTAACCTAATGTTGTTCCTGATACCACATAGTCAATCCTTGCTGCATTTTCCTACTTCCAAACACAAAGGGCTGCCAACTGATTATGTTCATTAATCAGCCCAGAAAAAAAATAACTTGCGAACTTAGCTCCAAAGCTCAGCCTTTTATTGGTTTTTCACTATGTTTAAAATGGAACAATCTAAACAACGGCATCAATATTCACTCTAGTTGAAATGATATCTTATTAGGTTTTACCATGATTTATCAGTCCTCACAGCCTGATCTGTTAAAGTCTATGTTCGGCCAATCTCTAGCTATATTCTGGAAAGCATTGAAGACAATATCATTCCTTGCATGGCATTGAATTAACACCTTTTATTTTGAAAGGAGTACATTAATCATCAATAGTTCTGAACCATTAATTTTGACACAAACCTCCATTGCATTCGGTACCAGTCTCACTGTACAGAGAAAGTCTGCTTCTCACATGCATGCTAACATTGTCATTTTCTATGTGCCCTACTGCAATGCAAAAAAGATGTACATTTGTCACCTGTGTTTGTAGAGGTAAAAGGCGAATCCTGATAAGATGAGCGCAAAGAAAGGTACCAAGATGGCAGCTGCTACAGAACTACTGTTTGTGCTATAGTAGTTATTGGATTTATCTCTATCCAGTTCTCCTCCTAGTGGTCCTGAAGGTGAGAGAAAACAAGAATTAGGCGATTAAATTCACACCAAAGACGATCAGCAGCTGCAAGAGAAGCTGAAGTGGAGGGACGGGCAGCGATGACGATGGGAAGCTCTGATAGGGGATAGAAAGTGGGCTTTGAAAGTAAGCTCAGAGTCAACAGCCTTGGACAATCAGGTTTAGCCTAAACAAGCAGCTACGAATAGGAAAGTCATCTAAGGCCATAATGTTGAGTCTCTGGTATATGTTAAACACGTATCTGGTGATGTTAAATTGTTTAAGTTATGGGAGAATTTTAACTCTCAAAACCATGTGGGTTTGGAGTTGATGTGAAGTGATCATTTTGAAATTAAAAAAAAACAAACTTACTTTGATCACACCGACTTCACAAGTGATGGTTGTGCTGTTGGGTTAGAGGGGCAGGGGACGTGGATATGATATGACGAACCAACCTTCACAAGGCAGGCTCTATGCTTAAGATCTTACCATCTTTTCCATGTCCAGTTTTAACAGTGCACGGCTTGATTTCCAGCGAAAACCAGCTTGTAACGACAAACAGGTGCTTTGCAGGACAGCTTTTGGACCAGGAGGAGCAGGATTGGTTACCACTTACTCTATATGCTACCCTGTTACCCTCCATGATTCTTCACCACTTCTGGATATCTGAACCCTCTCTGGTGTGAGGTCATGATCTGCTCCATGATGCCCCACCCTAACCTCAAACCCCACCCCACTGCACACCTGCCAACCTGACAGAACCCAGCTGCCTGTGGCTAGGAGATGGAGTCCAGAATTAGCGATCATGTTCTGCCATTAAATTAATCTCATGGGCTTTCCAATGGTTAGACACCATCTCTTCTCAATCTCTCCCCCTCATTCCCACCCCGCTAACCTCTCCACCCTCCACCAAATGGGAAATAAAAACCCTCCCCTGCTAATACCCGGGCATTACTGTCAACGAGGAGTAGTCTGGTGGCTATGAGACACATTATGTAGTATAGGTGCCCAGTGAGTCATAGAGTGCCCTGTTTCTGCTTATGCAGGGTCAGCAATGATGGTATCAAGGCTTAAAGGAAATACAAAGGATTACTCTTTTACCAAGAGGGTCATACTCCTTTAGCATGCTTATTTTATATTTTTGCATTGAATACAAGTTAAATCTGAAAGGAAAACAAAAATGTGCAGGAAGAGCCCAACCGCTCTGTTGGCGTCTGTACTGAGAAAAACCGTTCATGTTCTGAATGGTGAATTGACCCTTTCCACAGAATTGGAGGCTAGATTTCAAAGCAATTTATTAAAACCAAAGGGGACAAAGAGAGGTGGATTAATGATCTTGGACCATGCAATCACTCTGTCTTTAAATGGAAAATGTCAAAGAAAATAAGCTTAGAATTGAGGATTGAGGAAACAAAATATTTTTAAGATGTAATGAATTTCAAATGTGGTATTAATGATGATCATTTTGTTTATCACTTGGAAATTCTTTACTGTTTTCGAAGGGGCATGATGCAATCTAAAATGAAGTCTCAAAATAATAGAGAGAGTAATTACTAATCTACTAAGCAGTTGTGCAGTATCAAATAGCAAAATTTCAGATTCTATTCCCAGTTCCATGACAGGCACAGTCTAAGGCTTGTGGTTAGGCCATTTAGGACAGAAATGAGGAGAAATGTCTTCACCCAGAGAGTGGTGAATCTGTGGAATTCTCTATCACAGGAAATGGCTGATCCAAAATATTGAATGTTTTCAAGAAGGTGATAGATATACTTCTTAGGGCTATGGAGGTCAAAAGGTACGGGGAGAAAGCAGGAGCAGGGGATTTATTTGGACAATCAGCTATGACCATAAAGAATGGCCTCGCAAGCTGAAAAGGCTAAATGGCCTACACCTATTATCTATTTTCTATTAGTGTTAACAGAGAATAGACATTCAGTATGTATGTTATAGATGTGTTTTCTAAAGTCTAGTGTCACATCAAGATTTTCAATAATCTGATGCAGACTATATAAGTTGCATTTTTGGTTATCGTGCTACTGCATGCCAGAACTTTCTGATCAATGTTGTTCATTAACAGATCTGTTACTAACCTTGCCTTTGAAAGCCAAACTGTCGGAAGTCTTTGCCTTGGACAAATCCCTGGTAGACAAAGGTCTTGCCTTCAGGCTCAGCCGATACCTAATTAAAACATCCAACATTAAAAAAAAGCAGTTTTGATACATGCTTCATCACGCACTTAGGGGTCTACGTAGGCACAGGGATCACATTACACAATGACCCTGCATTGGGTTGAATGGCAGGCAACATGTAAATTTTATGTGGTTTGCTCAGAAACAGGACTGTGATGAGCAGCCCAGCATGAGATGTGCTGCTGACTTGCAGCATATTCCATAGCCAGATCAGGAAGAATAGGTGCACCTCGGGCTACACGGCTGATGGATCCATGTCAGGAAGTTTCAGATGGCAGCAAGAAGCTTGTCAATGGAGCTACAGGTCAAAAAGAGGACTTGTGGCTTGTTCATTGCTGTATTGTCCATGGGGTTGAGAAGGAGAAGATAGGTCATGTTTCCACAAAAGTCCATACCTTGCAAAGGGAATGGGAGTAGCTGACTGAAGAGGCCAAAGTCTTGCCCAATGTCATGGTTATAGTGTTGGGAAAAATTCAATGAGCCCACAAAAGTGGCCAAGGTTAGTGAACGCATCTTTCCATATATTGCATGCCAATCACAACAGCCTTTGCTGCGCTCAATGCAGCGCAGCCCCATCAGCAATCAGAATTAAGAATTCACATTCAGATGCTCCATTTAACCCATGCACACATACCAATGCTGTCCACCTCTCAATTTTTGCCTATTCAGCTGTGGCCAGCATGTCACACGAACAAACTGCAGCACATCCTCTGACATTCAACCCTTTTCTCTTGTGGGACAAGATTACACATAACAGGAGGAAGCAGCAGAGAACTAATGGGGAACAGGCAGGTGTGCATCTAAGCTCCTTAAAGGTGATGGTGCTCTGCAATTTAGGACTGGCAAAACTAAAGCCACTGCATCTGATGTCACTGTATACATTCAGGGTGACAACAGAATCTTATTTTAGAGATAGTAGGACTTCACAAGCTTCAAAATCTCCCCTCCCCCAACCGCATCCCAAAACCAGCCCAGCTTGTCCGCACCTCCCTAACCTGTCCTTCCTCTCGCCTATCCCCCCCTCCCCCCCCCACCCCCCCCCCCCCCCATCTCCTACCTACTAGCCTCATCCTGCCCCCTTGACCTGTCCATCCTCCCTGGACTGACCTATCCCCTCCCTAACTCCCCACCTACACTCACCTTTACTGGCTCCACCCCTGCCTCTTTGACCTGTCTGTCTCCTCTCCACCTATCTTCTCCTTTATCCACCTTTTATCCGCCTCCCCCTCTCTCCCTATTTATTTCAGAATCCCCTTCCCCTCCCCTATTTCTGAAGAAGAGTCTAGGCCCGAAACGTCAGCTTTCCTGCTCCTCTGATGCTGCTTGGCCTGCTGTGTTCATCCAGCTCTACACCTTGTTATCTCACAATCTTATTTTATGTTCCTTTCCAAATCTTACTCTGCTATTGGTAGGAAGTGCAAGATGCAGATGCTGCGACTGTGGGATTCTCACTTTGCATGCCACCCAAGTCCATCCTTTCTACATATTTATTTTCAGATACACAAAAACTGAGTGCATAGTTCTGTCTCATTACGAAGCATGTCTGTTGAAGAAACATGGCCACTTGATCTGATGTTCGCAGCCAACAGATCAGATATTTTGGTACTACAAAAATCTTAAAGTGTAGTGTAGAGTGCTGGGTGGCCTGCAGCTAGGTCAGCATGGGGAGGAGGAGAGTGTGTACAGGTATACCAGGAGGCAAATGTGCAGACTGGTGCTCCAGCAAGGAATTCAGATGAGGACTGTGAATAGCTGGTATTCAGGAGAAGCCTGATGATGCCTTTCTGCCCTACAGAGAAAAAAATCTTACCCAGTCAATTTGAACCTGTGCTCCAGAGCATTAGAGTGGGCCTGTGGGTCACCAATTCAATAAGTTAAACATTACTCTTTCCTGAAATAATTCTCTATTGGGGAGACTTCCGGTTGTGTCCTGGTAAGTATATAGCAATCAGATTACGTCTGTGACAAGCAACAAGAGGGAGAAGCTGACTTGACCTTGCTCCTACTGAGGGGTATATCTGTTTATGACTATTTGTAGAAGTGACCATTGCAGATGGTGGAGAAATTTTTACATTGGAATTGTGTCCTCCATCACGTTGTGTGACACTACCACTTTGCTAAATGGGATAGATTCACAATAGATCTAGCAACTCAAAACTAAGCTTTCATGAGGTTGTGTGAGCCATCTGCTGCAGAAGAATTGTATTCCACCATATTCTGTGACTTCCCCACCCAGAATATCCTAATATATGACTCTACCATACCTCCAAGCTGGGAAAATGTCCTTTACAGACACTCAACTCAAATAAAATATCACTTCTAAGGTAACTGTAAAACAAGTGTTTCCTTTCAGCAAATTTCTACATGTTCACCAGATGTAATTCTTTCCATTTCTTCCTGAGATACAAAGACAGGATAATTCATTGATTTCTCTCAGACTTTGATTACATTGAGGCTGCCAAACAGCAAGTTCAGATCTTTCCTTCTGAACTGAACCTGCTAGTGGGCTCTGACCCCTCTTTTTGTAAGGTGTGAAAGGAGTAGCCTTGATAGTAAGGGTGCCATAGAGACGGTGGTGACAGGGGATCTTAGTTAAGCAACCAAAATTCTTTATAATTTTTGTAGCTGCGCAGCTTAGGGGGAACATTGCTCAGAAGGTCAGGCAGTCGAGTTCAATCTGATAGAGATTAGGAATATTAAGGGTCAGAAGACCTGCTGGGAGTAGTTGTACAGAGCATTAATAAAGACATGATTGCAATTTCTAATATAAGCAATGTGATAATTATGTAGGATATTTGTCTTCATATCGTCTGGCCAAACCAAATTGGCAAAGGTGATGTGGGAAAAGAACAGCAGTTCCCTGGAGAACTAGCAATTATCTCGTGTGTGACTTATCTGGTCATTTAATTGAAGTCACATCCTTTCTTGAAAATTTTGTTCTGACCCAGTACTAATAAAGCAAACCTTTTAAAAATGTCACTGCCACAAAATTAAAACCAAAACCCATTTAGCTCCACTTTAAAATTCAACATCCAAACAATAATGATTTTTATACATCTTTATGTCAAATGTCCTTACACTTATTAGTTCCTGGGTTATGCTGTACTTCTGGTATGTAAGTTGTGGTTTCTACAGTGAAGATGCAAAATACCTGTTCAACTTCTCTGCGATATTTTCATTCCAATGATTATTTTTCCTCTGTCTCGAAGGGCCAATGTTTACATTAGTTACTTTTCTTTCTCCATATTTGTATAAAGCTCTGGAAATCTGTTTTTATATTCACGGTTGATTTAATCTCACATATCCCTACCACTTTTTAATCAACTGTATGATCACCCTTCACTGGTTTCTGACACCACCCCCCCAATTCTCACCCTTACTGTTTTGCAATAATATAAACCTCGTCTCTACTCTTATACCATATTAACTTCTCCAGCGAGCCATAGGTGGATCTCTATTGTTGGCTCATTTTTCTTTATAAAGTAATGCATTTTTGTTGAACATTTTGAATTGTTTCTTTAGATATTTCCAACTGTTTATTATTATAGTTGTATCTTTTACTCTACTTGTGAATCAACTTTAGCTAGCTTTATCTTCCATATTTATGTAGTCGGCTTTGTTTTGGTTTAATCTTGTTTGGGACTGGAATATATCACTTTCAAACTTAATATGGAAGTCAAGTGTAATGTCATCATTATTTTTTTCCTTCCAGGGGACCTTTTGCCATGAGATTATTAATCAAACCTGTCGCATTATATGATGTTAGATCTAAAACTGCTTTATCCCAATTGATTAGTGTGCCAGGGAACTGCTGCATAAAATATTCTACAAATGCTTTTTCCAGACCACCTTTGCCAAGTGGGTTTGGCCAGTCTATAATGAAGATAAAAAGTCCCATATGAATATCAGTTTTCTTTTGTTACAAGCTGCCATTATTTCTCGCTTAATGCTCTGCCCAATGTTATCACTGCAGCTCAGAGACCTATAAACTATTCTTAGCAATGCTGTTCTGACCCTTATTATTTCTAATTTCTATCAGACTGATTATATTACCTGATCTTCTGGTCCAAGGTCCTCTCTCATCACTGTCTTAATGGCATCCTTTACCATCACGGCTACGTCTTCTCATTTTCCATTCTGTCTGCCTTTTCAAAACGTACTATGCCCTGAATTGTTAATTCCCAAATCTGGTTGGTGGGAACTATGTATCTGCAATGATGATTCGATCAAAATCATACACTGTCATTCCTCCATATCTGTGAGGGCTCTGTTCCTGACAATCCCTGCAAATAGTGAATTCATGAGTGCAGAGCTTAATTAAGAGCAATTGTAGTGCTTTGTAACATATCGATAATGGTAAGACGTTCTGTGTACCAAGGCCGGGTATTGTTGGAGGGCGTTATGGGTGGTTATTAAATGTTGGAGGTGGAGGACAGTGCTGATGCGCCTCCCCACATCCCTGGCCACTCTCCCCCCAGTGACGCGCCCCTGTCCTCTAACTCCATCTTGTGGATGTCCGCGACCTGATCATCCTCACGAGCACCTCTGCCTTTGGTTGTGGAGGGTTGAGGGGAAGAGCTGTGTACTGGAACAGCTTGGAGAGCGAGAACGAGATTGTTGCATAAGTAAAAGTGGTCATGGACAGGCAAGTTTAGCACACGGATTTTGAAACATTGGTTACTTATTTTTTAGCGTGAAAAGGCAAATTCGTGATTCGTGAGCTCATGGATACTGAAGAATGACTGTATTTCTACTGCATTGCTAGCTCATTAATTGTTACAATTGTTTATTCAAATACAAAACCTTTAAATATTATTCAAACTGCTATTCTTTGTATGAACCTCATTCGCTGATGAGATATTGTTAAACTCTCTATTCCTTCCTACCTAGTTCTTGTCAATACCCAAATCACTACGCTGCTCTATTGGTTTGCCTATCTTCTTTAGATTGTGGAGTCACCCTTCATATGAATCCTTCTCTCTAGCTTTTAATTCAAAGCTTCATCCACAGCCCTGGACTTTAATACTGGCTTGGTTTAAGGGAAGACCATCCCAACAGAGAATCCCTTTCTTTAACCAATACTGGTGCCAGATTCCCTCAAATCAAAATCACTTCTTCTCAATTCGATCAGCCACTTTTTTAATTCTCCAATCTTCTTGATCCTAAATTAGCCTGCTGTTCAGGTGACAACGCAAAGATTATTACCTTTGACATTCTACATTTTAATTTCGAGCCCGGGTCTTCAAACTCTTTCAGGAGATCAACATTGCTAGGTCAATTTATGCGATTGGTTGTTCACTTGGTCCTGACAACTGGATTCTCCTCCTCTCACAGACAACAAGGTGCAGGGCTGGATGAACACAGCAGGCCAAGCAGCATCATAGGAGCAGAGAGGCTGACGTTTCGGGCCTAGACCCTTTATCAGAAAAGG